GGGCAGACTTGACGTCCATGATAACTTTATTGCGCCAGTACTTAAACATTGTAGAGGATTTACCGTGTTTATAAAGTGCTTTTTGGCGATTACTTATGGAGCTTTTGAGTGAGGGGGTCATCCATGGCTTGTCACATTGTCTTTCGTACGTGTAATAGGCAAGAACTTATCCACCATGTTCTCTATAATGTCATGAAATTTTTGGAATTTCAGATCACAGTCATGAACGTGTAGAACGGGTGACCAATCGTAAGAGGAAATCCATTGGCCAAATCTTCGTAAGCTACTATATCTGAGGTCTCTTTTCGAAATAGGTCTATTATCTGGTTTCTGAGGCCTGGGGATACGTGTCTTGATAAGAATGGTGTTATGATCGCTAGTTCCAAGTTGAGGGAGTTGTATCTGTTCAAAGAAGGATTTCTTCACGTTAGTTATTTGGGTCAAACCGGCAATTCTTTTAACCATTCTTTCGTCAAAACCCGTTCTTGAAGGGTTGAAATCTCCGGTGATGAGAAGTAAGGCATCGGGATGGTTACGAAGAAAAGTATCGACATTGAACATTTATAGATTGGATGTGATTATATAACTCGACATTTTCGGCCGCGCCGCAGGATGTAGAGTGGTAAATGACAGCTAATAAGATTATAGAAATAGATCGAGGCAGGCGGGGTGGCCTGATAGACATCCACAATGATTCAGTACCCTGGTCTTCATAGGTACGAAGTCTTTTGCATGAAAATTTACTGTTAACGTAAATGCAAACGCCACCTCCAGAGGATGACAAACGGTCGTTGCGAAAAATTAAATAATTTGCGAGGGAAACTGCTGAATCAGGAATACTGCTATTTAGCCATGTTTCAGTAATACAGATAAAATCGGCTTTGTTGATTTGGGAAACTGCTTCAAGTTCATCGACCTTGGGGAGGATCGAACGGACATTCGAAACTAACTGACAAACGTGGAAGGTCAAACTTATCAGGGTTTACCAATTTGGGACACGGTTGGGTGAGATTATATCACAAACATCTGTCAACATACATTCATGCTTTTCTTCACCACATGAGTCTCCCACTCACCACATTACTTTATGAAATTTTTGGATAAAATCCTATTTTAATACCCTATACTTGATAGTGGGTGAAAATATTCGCATAGTTCAGAAGCAATATAACCAACATGTGTCCATTCAGTACCATATAGTCCAGGTCAATTGCACTTGGGTCCATTGGATTCAATTACTCTGGCCATATTCTTACATTCACTGGTTTATCTTGTCCATGAAGGGCAAGGTATATTGCGTGTTCCAAATGATGTTGGTAGTTTTTCTCATGAGAAGCACTGATGCACTTGAATGGTACAGCATCGGTGATTTCGTTCTCGTCACTTTCATCCTCATCCCCTAACTCGTCACCACTTTCTGCCCTATCACCTTCATTACCAAATCCATCCTGACCAGGTTCAAGACCAGCCAACCACTCAAGTTGATCTCTTTCTACAAAATCATAACAAGAAAATTTTTATTTTATTATTTTATACATATACTGTAATCTCTAAAATTAGCAATCTAATGCAAAAGTGTGTCACTATTTACAGTAATATTAGAACAACACACAAATATGGCAATATTATTTACAAATGAAAATGGAAAAATATATAACAACTGTATGCACATATACTGTATGTAAAAATCTATCCACAACTAGATACAAACAGTAATCATACTTCAGCAAAAATTTACTAAACAATTTGTTTAACTTAAAACATGTACATAATATATCACAGTGACACAGTACATAGACACACACACACACAATAGGGTCAAACTAGAGGCAATAAACAAACACAAATATTACGCTATAATTTTGTACATTGTATTTCTGAAATTACAGTACAGTACAAGAATAAAAACAACAAAGCGGAAATTCGACTATAAAATAACAAGATAACTGTAATGCATTGTAGTATACCAACCTTAAATACTGCGCTTGTTTTCACGTTGATGATAGACGCCATCCAACTTAGAAAGAAGAGCCCTGATATTGGGATTTGGGAATATTTATATAAACACAATTCCTTCGCTCAGACGGATTATTTATAGACTAAACTAAAATGACAGCACGTCCCATGCAATTTAAAAAAAGGTAAACTTGGTATAGCAAAACACAAGTCATAATGAAGATCGCAACAATACAGCAATATGCTCTTTTCACAGAGTATCTGACACTGTTGTCGTTCGAAAGCTTCCATATTGGTTTAGTCAGAGAGATGTTCACTCCTCGACAGTCAGCAGTCAATGAAGCCACGCGTGGAATTAGGCGCTCAATACCCATGATGCTTTGCGACGTGCTGTGCAACCTCCTCTGTTATATACACAAGGTCTTGATATGAGGTATTCTGCAATCTGATTGGTTCTCTACCAGTAGGATATTAGCTCATATCCTGCTAGTAAAGAAAAACAAAATGGCGGCTCAAACTGAATTTCTGACGTTTGCAAACGAGAAAACGGCACGTTGTTCGCCTTTTATAGCTTTTTCTAGATTAAAAATCTAGAAAAAGTTTAAATCTGTCTGTCTCAATTTTAAATCATAAACAAGACGCTCTATAAAGCGTTAACTCGCTATTATATATACTGAAGATTCCACCGTGGATAAATAAATTTTATTGTACTGCATTGTATTGCATTGTATTGTATTGTATTGTATTGTATTGTATTGTATTGTATTGTATTGTATTGTATTGTATTGTATTGTATTGTAACTCGCTGGGGTTATACAAATACGCACATTACTGTATATGATATACATACAGTTCACAGCTATTTCATTACGATTTAAGGTTGTCCCCGAGCTAAGTGGAAAAGTCGAATACGAGAGCGAAAGGCTTAACACAGTATTAAATGCGGTGCACTACAAATAAAACTTCCGGCGTTTCCGCCTACAAGTATATTTAGTACGCTACATTCTTCTATCCGCCGCCAGTTGGTCCGTAGGCTAGGATTAAACTGTGCTTTAAAACGTTCAAAATAAAATATTTGGGGGTTTTTGGGCTCAAAATACTATTAAAATGAAGAGAGAAGTGAGACGAATCCACTGGTATCCGACCGAAAATGAGAAAACCAACGATACCAAAGTTATCAAGGATCAAACGTACTGCATTTTTCATAATAGTTTAATAATGTTGAGCAATTTGTCAACAATACAATTTCCCTTGGCGTTCAAAGACAAAGGCCATAAATTTCTAGAATACTGTCGAAAATTTTGAAATCTAGGACCTCGAAAATGCGATTTCCTGCGTTCTGAGCGAACTCTTTTGTTCCAATTCATACATCAGAGTCACAAAAAGTTTGCTGCATTTTTGGAAAAACACGTGAAAAACTTGAACCTATATCACAAAAACAACATAATTTCTCCATATAAGAAAAAAAAATATTTGCTTGTACAAGTGTAATAGCAGCAGTGGCAATAAGTCTCTATTAAAAAATAGTCCGTATTGTGCTTCTTGTAGCCTTAACTTTTCTATTGAAAAAACATTTCGGCAGAAAATCACGACAACGCAAATACACACACACTGTGTAACAAAGGTGTATACAGTGTTCTCCACTAGTTGCATTGCTGCATGGACTCAGAAGACAGTGTTATTATGTTGTTTATGAACCACCTTCCCCTATTACTTTTCAATAATTTCCAATGTTCCATGAGTAAAATCTTCTAGCATTAGAATTTAAAGTAAAATAAAATAAAATATGGCGCATAAAGGTATTTTGTGCTTTATTAGTGGGTAAATATATGCAACTCTCTCTTATGCTGCTAATCTTACTCTGCATGGACAGTGTGCATGGTTGGCATCAGTTGGTCAATTTCATTTGCCCCTAGCTGCTTTTGATATGAACTGCATGCATGGTGAATAGCCCACACTCTGAATACAGAGAATATTGCCTTGTGGCCAGGAAATCAGTAAACTAACACACAACAAGCACTGGGTTTAAAATTATATAAATATATAACTAGGTACACACACAACCACACGTTTTAAATCAATAGAGACTGTGTGTAAATTAATTTAATGACGCTATCTTAGTTGGTAATTGTTTGTTAAATGAACCAATACCAAACTGTACAATGATAAACATGACATAATTGAATCATGTCTTCTATCTGTCCCCTTTTGCGTGCCTTTCAACTAATATTAATACAGTACTCCTTTAAGATGTTATCAATGTAGAAAGGCTGCACAGTAGTATTGATGAATATTTTCCCTACGGTATGTTATTATATAAATGCATATCTTGTCAAATATATCCATACACTTATCAATGGTAATCCTCAGGGTGGCATGCTGGCTATTCAACATTATTTTATTGCTGGCATTTATCGTCCTCCATCTTATAAAGTGGGTGAGGATAAGAAATTAGGAAAGAATATCGAGAACGTTTATCTTTTAAATAAAGAAATGATTTTGCTGGGCGATTTCAATGTTGATTATACTTTCGCAGGGGGCTTTCGCAAACACAAGCTTATTAAAACACTGATTAATTTGAATATGTCACAACTTGTTAATGACATTACAAGGCCAGTGTCCAAAAGCATGTTTGGATCATATTTGGTGCAGTCATCCGGAACGTTTAAGAAATGTACAAGTAAAAAACTCTGGCATGTCAGACCATTTACCTGTTTTTGCAACTAGGATTTACAAACGAAACAAACCAAATAACAATTCTCATCATGTCATTAACTTCAGAAATATTAAGCAACTAGACACAGGCAAATTCATTTCTGCTCTCAAAAATGCCCCATGGGATTGTGCCTTTTTGTTCGAAGATATTGACGAAGTACTTGACACCTGGTATGATATATTCAATTCTATTATCGATGAATATTTACCATTGCAACAAAAGCGCGTAAAACGTGAAGTCCAGCCTAAGTGGTTTACCAACAATATTTCACAAAAGATAAAAAGCCGTGATAAAGCGTCAAAGAGAGCCCGTAAGAGCAATCTAGAAACTGATTGGAATGTTTATAAGAAAGCAAAAAACAATGTTACCAGTCTGATTAGAAATGCTAAACAAAACTATTTTAAAGACAAGTTTTCTGAACACAAGAACAATTCAAGTAAGCTTTGGAATCTTATTAAGTGTTTGTCTAAAGACGGTGGTGAAAATAAAAGCGAAATCTCTCAGGTTGTTGAAAACGAAGTTCTGATAACGGACAGTACTAGCATTGCGGAGATTTTTAATCGCTACTTTATTGACATACCTACGAAATATCTCGCCTCGCTTGGCGAATATCAAGGATTGAAAGATGTCTTCGAAACGAGTATCAATTTTGCAATTTCGCCCGTCACTGAAAACGATGTATTAGAATTGTTAATGTCAGTCCCATGCCACAAAGCTACTGGTGATGACGGAATAGGTATAAAGATCCTTAAGATTGTCGCACCTGCAATAGTACCCTCTCTGACCAAAAAACACTTCCCGAGAGCATGGAAAATAGCAAAAGTTTCACCGATTTTTAAAGGAAATGGAAGCAGAAACGATAAAGAATGCTTTCGCCCAATATCAGTACTCCCAATTCTTTCGAAACTGTTGGAAAAACTGATCTGTCGTTCAATGAACAAATTTCTCCGTGAAAATAACATCCTACATAAATTCCAGTCTGGTTTCAGGAAAACATTCTCTACCGAAACAGCGTTAGTACGACTCGTAGACCAACTTTTATTCGACCTTGACAAAAACAATGTTTCCGGAATTGTTTTTGTGGATTATAAGAAAGCGTTTAATCTAATTGACCATCATGTGTTATTACGAAAACTCGAAGTACTCGGTATTGGTGATGATTACCTTCCTCTATTTACTAGTTTTCTGAGCGATCGAAAACAGTACGTAAACGTTAATGGATGCCATTCTAAGACTGAAAATGTAAATTTCGGTGTTCCGCAAGGAAGTATATTGGGACCTGTGTTATTTCTGATATTTATTAATGACTTGCCGACTGCTCTGAAGAATTCTACAGCTGATATATATGCGGATGATACTACAATTAGTTACTCTGATCATTATAATATTTCTCCTCAAGCTATTAGCAATGGCATCCTGACGGACATGAATGAACTACAAAATTGGTCGAATAAAAATCGAATGACACTAAACGAAAGAAAGACGAAATCTATGCTCATTACAGGAAAACGGCTAGATAAAAAGCTGGAAAGTTTGGATTTGCAAATTGAATTAAACAACACTACTATTGAACAAGTTAATGTTTTCAGTTTGCTGGGACTAAAGATAGATATGAGATTGACATTTGACGAACACGTCGACTCTCCTTGCAACAAGCTGTCGCAGCGAATTGGCGTCCTACGAAAGATCAAGGTTTTTCTTCCCCTGGAGCAGAGAATTCTCTACAACAACGCTATGATTAAACAACCGATGATGTATGGCTCAACTGTGTGGTCTGCGTGCTCTCGTGAGAATTTAGAAAGGGTTTTGCGACTGCAAAAGCGAGCTGCTAGGGTCATATTAGATGCTGACATGCGAGCGAACAGTGCCGAACTCTTCAAAAAACTAAATTGGTTGCCTTTCTTCTGTGAAGTCAAAATTCAGATGTGTGTTTTGGTTCACAAACGTCTTTACGGCGAATGCCCAGCTTATATTAAAGAAACGTTGAGCGTAAACTCAGATATCCATAACCGATCAAGTCGTTATGGCTCAATAAACATAGTTTGTCCACGTTTCAATAGAGAAACTGAAGGTGGACGGACATTCTCAGTCAGAATGTCAAGATTATGGAACAGCCTGCCAAATGAACTGAAGTCCATTAATAGTATAAACATTTTTAGATCATCTTTGAGAACTTTTTATATTGACATTCTAAAGGATATGAACCATCTTAAAGTATTTTCAACTTTTTACTAGACCATTAGTTATTAAATTCTTACTATACATTTGTATATATTTGCATGCTATAGGCCTACGCAGCCATTTATTCTATTTATAGTTAGGAAGGACGCTGGTTTATCAGTTTCACTGTCATGCGTTTACCCTCATTAATAAAGTTGATTGATTGATTGATTGAACATAATACTGGGATAATTAGCACTACAAATATATAATTTAATTAAATATATTTTCCAAACTATCCCACTTTTGTGAGCAAATTTCATAATTATAACCTGTATACACCAGTTACAGTATATACAGTATTTATACCATCCATCATTTTATCATTCTAAGATTAAAATCTGTCAAGAGAATAATGACATATAACATATACAGCTTACATCAAATTATATTTGCACAGACAAAGCATATAAACACTCAACTATGGTAGGCAAGCAAGCCCAGGTAATCATCTTTGTTTACAAAATATCCAGCTAATGTACAGTTATTGCCCAATAACTCAGGCAATGCAAAGCAAGACCCTTGTCATAAAATGAAAATAAAATTAAATAGGAGACACCACTGGAAGTTGCAACTTGAAACAATTACCTTTCATGTAAACTCCCCCTTAGCCTTCTAACCAATGTTGCATCACTATTAGAAATCTCATTAACCTGCCATTATGCTCTGTAATTACATACAGAGACTGATGCAAGTCTTGATCCATTCAGAGTTACTTTTCACCCACACTATAGTTTTATTTTTGGTATCCAATCAAAATGTGCCAGAAGAAATGTCAATTTCACATAATAACAACAAGCTAAATATAGTTACAATCACTAAATATATCATTATTTAATTATAGCATTAACCAATTATCAAAACAATACATTAAATATGGCATGAATACTCATGCTAGAAATAGCCAATCAGAGTTACAACCATAAAGGCAGTTGTAGGACACAAACGTATAATAAAAATCAGGTCTTCATTTTTCTTTGCCCGCCAGCTGTAAGAAAAATGAAGGTGTGGGCACAGGATATAATCCCATGTAAACAGAGATGAAATTTGCCTCCGTAAAGCAAGCTATCAAATTTGGTATTGGGGCTGGTTTGCCTCTAGACAAGCAAACCTGTGTAAAATGTCAAACTCTCCACCCCCAACAACCCCCCAACCACTAACATCTTTCTAGAATATAGAGCAACAACAGTAATAGGCACAAACTGTAATTATTTTGTTATTACATACAAATCTACATTAATTGTGGACCCCATTTTCCACTTTATACACTTCTTGAACTGAACAATTTACTACAATGTAAAAATATAGAGAAATTTATCGTACTTAATTAGCGCCTTCGGTTCGATCGAGTTTCACATAGTGGGCATAAGATCCCTTCCATTTTTCCACTTGGTAGTAATTGGTTCGACTGTAAATTATTTGTTCTCCGTCAATTTCGAGGGATTTCTCTTCGCAAATGATCGGATTAATCGGATATTTATTTGTCTCATTTGCATATATCCTTGCCGCCATGACTTGAATCGAATGCCTCGTTACGTCACAGTAGATTTGATTTTGCAATTTGCATCAGTGCGCCGATGCGAGCGCCCGCAATCTGCATGCGATGTATCGCTGAGCGGCCAAATCTAACGTGACGTAGGGCTCTAAAACAATAGATTTGAAGATGTCACGTTAGATTCACGCGGAAAAGGACTCGGGACCGATGCATTCACTGATGCAAAATGGATGCCAATTGATGCCAATCGAATCTAACGTGACGTAGGTGATGCATTTTGCTTCAACTGTGATATCGAAGGATGCGGTAGAAAATAACATATTTTGTCACGAAATTATTGACGCTTAAAGTGTCGCAAAATAACAGAAAGTACACATTTGCGATCGCACGTTGCATATTGGACTTATTTTGACAATTTCGACTGTTATTGAGACTATTTAAATTGGATTTCATCCTAAATAATGTATTCCTGACATGGCGTCAATTTTAAGTGCGATCAGCGATGGACGTGTGTACATCGAGCTCCGATAATGAACTCAGCAATGACTGCGATATTCAAGCAAAATATAAGAATAATGCAGTAAACTATCTTACACTAAGGGAAAAGGGCAAATTTAAATGGATTATTTAAATCGAAGAATTTAAAACATTAATGAACGAGCTCACAGAGAAGGATTTAAATTGGACATCGCCGGGTGGCCATTGTAAATTGTTAGAATTAGACGAAGCCGAAATCAGATGGTATTCGAACAATAAATCACTCACTATTAGCGGTAAAGCAAGCGACGATATTAAGTCTCAACTACGGATTCTTGCTGACTTACCTTGGGCTGATACTGAAGCAACCGATGAAGGAAACGACAACGGTAAAGACGCCGTGATCGATAATACTAATGGCGAAGCACCAGAGGGAGCAAACAACAATGTTGGCAACGATGGCGTTCGAAGCGAAGGCTGTGAAACCGGGCATAGCGAAGTCATTGATGAAAATGAGTCTAGGGAGTCAAATGGAGCAAGTAATTATAAACATACGGTGTGTCAATGCCCAGTTCGCGAAATTGTTGCTGAACTTAAAGGTATGAAGCATGAAATCGCTATTTTACAATCTCTTATCCAATCGACTGTTATTAATAATCAAGTACCTGATAATGGTAGTGAGATTTCCAGGCTAGAAGCTGCATGAGCACCAATCTGTTATTGATGATTTGAAACTTAAAGCATCTATACAAATTGCTGACATAAAAAGCGAAATTGTTAAGCTTAGTGCTGAGCATCAATCTGTAATTAAAGATCAAAATCTTAAGTATGCAATTCTGGAACAGAGATGGTTAAAAGCAGAAGAGGAGAGAGACTCTTTGCGTTCGGTCCTTAAAATTGTTGTTCAGGAGAAAGACAGGGTAAATGTTTCTAATTTGCAGCCTGAATACAGCTGTGTCGGTGATCCCTCTGTCCAACAAAACAATTTAAAAGCCCATAGTATGGTTAATAATTCAAGTTCTGCTGTGCAAATAGACCTCACAAGCAGTGATGATTATCATAGTCAGCAAAGAGAATTGGGAGTTCATCCCACTATTCAAATTACTCAAAAGCCTTTGTATTCAGCCACCCAAACCTCTGAAACCAATATACCTAGCCTGGTCCCAGGTGGTCAACCATGGATTTCTAGAAGGTATGATCAATTAAATGTCAGCAACAGAAGCAATAAGCCAACTCCAATTAGTCGTTACCCCCAATATTCTGCTGCCTCAATTTGTAGAACCATACCTGATCAGTATCGTGTTGATCAGCCTTGTTTACACAATGGCAGTAATCAGGAGTCGATTCATCAGTTAGCGCATGGGCAAGTCAACTCCGATGCTTCCAATAAGAATATGATTAACAACACCAATTCATTAAACTGCAACCCAAGTCCCCACAGGCACAGTCCATCTATTGATGTCAATTCTACTGAATGTAGAGTAACTCACCACCCACCTAGTCCATCCAACTCACGTGATCAATCAACTATGATTAGAGATATGCAGCAACCACCTATGCCACCTCACCGTACCAAGATTTCTATATTGGGAGACTCAATGATAAAGCGTGTTCAATCTCGGCAAATTCGGCGGGCCGTGAGTACTAGGAAATCGTCTACATCCGCTCTTTTCCGGGTGCAAAATCTTTAGATATGACCAAGACCAACTATGAGGGACAACCCGAACCACATTATAATACATATTGGTACAAATGATGTACGCCAAAGTAATCCAGAAGATGTCATTAGAAATGTTGAAAACTTGTGCAATCAGATCAAAGACCAATGTCCCCGTACTACCATATCACTATCGGAACTGATTGTTCGCAACGACTTTCCTGATGCTACTACTAAGATCAGCAAAATTAATAATGAACTGCTATGCCTTAGTAGATCTAAAGGCTATTATCTAATTAATAATTCAAACATCAGTGTGCAAAATCTAGATAGATATGGCCTTCATTTAAATGGTAGTGGTGTGGACACTCTTACTAACAACTTTATAAATCATATTAATTGTTTTTAGCGACACTCAATTAGTCACTTTCTCCTACCTCAATTGCTGCAATGACAACGACATTGCTGACCTGCTCTCGTCCAATGTTAACGATTCCTCTTTTACTATTCGTGATGAAACCTTGTCCGATAAAGACCCTCTCTCAGTAATTTCCACGAAAGGCCTAACATTTTTTTATCTAAATATCCAGGCCATTACAAACAAATTTGATGCTGTGAAACTCTTAATTTTAAATTCCACAATCAGTCGACAGAAAAGCAATATAATCTTCTGTTTCGCAGAAACGCATCTCAATCCCACTTGGTCTGATTCCAAGTATCTATTGACGGCTATCATTGTGTAAGAAGAGATCGAACCACGTCCAAAGGTGGTGGTCTCATTGTCTATATTCCTTATGATCTCAATTTTAACATTCGTTCTGATATTCAAGTTTCGGATGAATATTACGAAATAGAATACTTGTGGATTGAATTCCTTTTCCAAAATTCCAAATCCATTTTGGTTAATTTTCTTTATCAGCCGGATACTAGTAACAAGTGGAGAGCTCAATTTGAAAACTTGTTGAAAATAGCTGACAATGAGCATAAAGAAATCCTAATACTTGGTGATTTCAATTGTAATGTGCTTGATAAAAGCAAATATAGATTCCTACGCCAACTCGCCTCACAATATCAGATCAAACAACTAATTAATAACATAACACGACCCGTCTCGGGAACTTTAATTGATCATATTTACACCTCTAATCATGAACATGTTTTAAGGAGTGGCATAATCGAGATTGGGCTTAGCGACCACTTCCCCATATATATAACTCGTAAAGTTAATCCACACATATTTAGTAACCAGAAATATCACCAAACTATAACTTACCGCAGAACTAAGCATTTAAATGTATCTCGGTTCTGTAGTGACCTTGATACTCTGCCTTCTACCACATTAGAAATATTTGACTCTCCTGACGATCAACTTGAAATATTTTATGAACATTTTAATTCGGTATATTAAATACCCATGCACCTCTCATAAAAAAACGAGTCAAATCTAAGAAACGTCCGGCATGGTTTTGTGAAGAAATCCGCATAGCTCAACACAATCGCGATTACTATCTTAAAATGTTCCGGAAGAATGCGAATGATGCTCACAATACTTGGTTTCAATATAAGACTTGGCGCAATAGGTCTGTACATTTGATCAGGAATGCAAAAAACTCGTATATAAAAAGACTTCTTAATGACAATTCTACGAATTCTAAACAAATTTGGCGAGTTTTGAAATCAACTATAAATCTTAATAAGGCTCCTCCCCCTCTTTCTTTAGTTATTGATAATGTGAGATATGACAACCTTGCAATTGTCAGTAATCTCTTTAACGAATATTTTACCAACATTCAGAACAAATTTGACATGAGTGAGGCTGTTTACTACAGTCAGTCAGCCTTCTCGTTATCTTTTAGGCAAACTAAATTTAGTATCCCCCTATTACTATTGAGGAGGTTTCTGATTCCCTGAAACAATTGAACCCCTCTAAAGCGACAGGAATTGATGGTCTTCCCGCCCACTTCCTAAAGTTCCCTGCAAACATGATCTCCAATACTGTTACCACCATATGCAATTTAAGCATCAGCACAGGTATTTTTCCAGCCTTGTGGAAAAAAATTAATCCCAATATACAAATCTGGCGAAATGAGTGAAAGAGGAAACTTTAGACCAATTTCTATCCTGGTTATTCTCTCAAAAATCCTTGAAAAATATGTGTTTAATTCATATTTTTTATATTTAACTAAGCATGAAATTCTATCCGATTACCAACATGGATTCAGACCTGGCCACTCGTGCGAAACGTAATTAAACATGATTTACGAATACCTTGTTAGTAATATTGATAATGGAGAAATTAACGGTGTTTTGATGTTTGACTTTCCAAAGCCTTCGATTTAGTGGATCATAATATTTTGCTCCAAAAAATCCACGCGTACGGAGCTACTGACCTAACCCTAAAATGGTTCGCCTCGTATCTTGAAGGACGAACTCAACAGGTGCAAATTAACGAAGTCCTTTCTGAACCTTTAACAATTATTACTGGGGTCCCTCAGGGTTCCATTCCTTGCCCGTTACTATTCTTAATATTTTAGCAAAACCAAATTCATGAAAATTTATTCAAAGCGTAAGTATTCACAGCTTGATTATGATAGCATACTTTATGCGGATTTTTGGATTGAAGAAATTACTTCTGGCAAACTTTTAGGTATCTTACTGGATAAAAATCTCTCCTGGGACAACCAAGTGGATAAGATATATAAATATCTTAATTCCAGGCTTTATCTGTTTAAGCGTATTTGCCCAGCCCTTCCACTGAAATGTAGAATTCAGTTTTACTATGCCTTTGTCTATCCCCATTTACTTTATGACATCACTATTTGGGGCAATGCACGCAATGAGCTTATCGACCCTTTGCTTAAACTTCAAAAAAGAGCAGCCAGATTGGCTTTGGACGAGAGTATGTCAACTCCTTCTGTTAATCTGTTCCGCAAACTGGAATGGATTCCCATCTACAACTTAATCAAGATGCGAAAAATTATACTCGTTGTAAGCACCTTGCGCAGCTTATCTCCTAGTGATCTGCGCGAGTTGTTTTGTTTCTCCGGGGCATCGCACAATGTATATACTCGCTCCTCTGTTACTGATCTCAAAATACCATCTGTCAAATCTAATCTTTCCAAGACCAAACTCTCATACAGTGGTGTTTTACTTTTCAATTCTTTACCAAATGACCTGAAAGTGTTTAACGATTACTCCCCGTCTGCGTATAAGCATAAAGTTAAGAGGTTTTTCTCTAATCTTAATCATGAGGTTGACCATCTTGAACAATTTTCGTGTCTTTCTTGTAAAAACCTAGTTAAGTGTATTTGTTACTCGCACTGCATGAATTTTCTTTTAATTTTTAATAACTTATATTGTCAAAACAAAAAAAAACATGCATGCTTAATAATACAGTTATTTTCGTATTTGGTACTATAAGTTGTATAGTCCCATATATCTGTGTCAAATGCAACTATAGACTTGCTTCTTTGTATATATTGTAAATACTGTAGGTTATCTAATTTTTAGAGGGCCATTTGGTAGAATACCTTCTCAGGTAAAAATGTTAATTTACCCTCATCAAATAATTATGGTAACCATATGAGTAATGAATTACCCTCACCATATTATTATGGTAACCATATGAGTAATGAATAAAAAAACAAATCATTTGAAAGTCACGCGCAATCTTCGCGAAAACTTCTTGTGGATACATGACAGGGGGGAGTGAATATTTTCACGAAATGTTTGTTCGCCACCACAGCTGCACAGCAACCTAACTAAATATATTGTTTTAAAGTTAGTTCGTTAACTCACTGCAACAAGGTATATCAATCATGTTTCGCTCGCTTGATTACAATTCGACTGGGCTTTGTAATCATTTATCTAAACCAGAGTAGCGAGCGAAACATGATAAATATATTGCATTTATTGTATTTTTATGATTGATGACAAAACTACGCAAATATTTATTGTTTTTACATAAATCATAAAAATACAATAAATACAATATATTTAGTTAGGTTGCTGTGGTGGCGAACAAACGTTTCGTGATATCTGTCATGTGTCCACGAGAAGTTTTCGCGAAGATTGCGCGTGATTTTCAAATGATTTGTTTTTTATTTTGAACCTAAATCACCTAAATGGTTTACGGGAGGTTTTTTTCCTTCCAAGTGCAACTAATGTTTTCAATTTTTCAATTGGGACTATTCTACAATGAAGTACTCTTGGATACTGTAATCTAAATACATATGAAGACGAAGAAGTGGCATTTATCGGGCAGAGAATCGGCGAGCCATAAAAAATGGTGGCAATTTGACGAAATATCGAAGGACACAATATCGAAGATAAAATACACTGCACTGTTTCAAAACTTCATGAAACTTGGTTGAAATCTTCTCTAGCCATTTATCATTATGTAAAAGTACAAGAACTGGATGATATATGCGAGACTCGGCTATATAAAGCAAACAAGTATTATATTTAAAGAAAACAATGACAATCCTTATGAAAACTACAATAATTATATTAAATTAAGCATAGTTTTTCATCCCATGATAATTTTTTTAGGAAATGAGAAAATTTAATTTCTGCCAGGCATATTAGTTATTTTGTGCATAATTAGCAATTTACCTTGGGTGGTGCATGGTCATTTTCTTGTAAAATATTATACCAAGACAAATTTTTCCTTTCAATGACCACCCCTAAAAGCAACCTTCTAAACACTATAAGCACTTCAGAAAGGCTGTCGCTTTTTGTTTTCGGAAGTTGGAGCTATGTCGACACTGCCGTTTCAAGGCGGGATCATTTTCAGGATGCCATGTTGATCGCCATAGTCATTTTACCCTAAAACAGTTGAGATTACCTGTGCTAAATGAAAGGCATACAAATATCTATACAGGTCCTAGACTAAAACTAACTAATCTTACTTATTGGTTTAATTTTGTTATTAGAGAGCGTAGTATATCTTCCGACCGAGAGGTCGCATACCGGTACCGTTCGGTCTCAATGGAGAAATTTGTGGTTTTCGTGCGTTCTGAGGCATCTACTGTCAATCTTAAAGTGTCAGGATGTGAAATAACCGTGTATATTCCTGCTTCTGATCATACGGAAAACGTACAGCTACACAAAAATGTTGGTTCCTGGAGTGTCGATCTATTGCACAATAACCCAGGATTTGGTAAACCATATTTGTTGAAGTTAACCAATCAAGAAAAGGTGCGTTATTTATTTAAATACGATTTTTCATGTCTAGTTCATATGTATTTGTGAATGATGAAACGAAGAATAAAATATTCAAAACAGATCTCACGATCAATAATTCATAAGGAAATTACAGTATATAGATGATCATTCCAAACCTATGGGGAAGAATAAAGTGTAATATAGTCCTACGACTTGATCAAAATTCCATGATCCAGTGTAAAAACTGGAAAAGTTTCTTTGATCAACAAAGTTCTATTTACAGATTTGAAATGTTTCAAATTTCTAGAATGACAAGATAAAAGTTTCCATTGTTCCTGAACGTGATTTTATCAAGACAAGTCTGCTTCATTGTACATTTAAAAGTCTAACAGAGTTCTCTCTCACTGGTCCAAACGTGCAAGTGGTGAACTCACAGTACGATAACACATTAACTGGAGTGAGTCTTCAACTGAATTCAGTTGGAAATGTAAGAATATCATCTCATCCACTTCAAGTGAAATCTCTTGACATCAATGTGAGGCCCCCTGAAGGTAAGTGCCTTACGAGCAGAGTAACAATTTCATAGGTGTCATTAATAATTGATGAGCTAGACACAACTCACAAGGGAAATATTGGCACAATGTCGTTGCCTGCATGGTAATGAATTTCTTTAGTGACGCCCTCGTATTTTCCCTGCTGACAGAGGACCTCTGCCAGCAGGGAACCTCGTATTGTTTATTTTAATGATTCTAAATCAAAGTATGTCATAAATCTCGGTCATAGTTTCAAATCATATAATCACAAACTCTTTAGATTACATGAAAATAGTGTTATTCAAATTGCCGCTGGATTAGGGACACTAGAGACCTTACGATTTTAGGACGGCAACGCGACGGCAACGGCTACCAATACAATAGATCATTGAGAAGAATTTAGTAATTACAATAAATGAATAATTTAGACATTGTCCTCGCTCTGTTTACAACGCCAAATCACAGATTTTCACGTGTTGATACAACGGCTGCATTCCAAGCCACAACAAGTGCAACTTCAAACGGTGTTTAGCACAACTCTTCCCAACCATAAAATCCATGTTGTCAACTTCTAAGACTGTATTAAATTCATACGATTGATAATATACGACAAACTATCGACTACCATTTATTTGAAGGAGTTTGTTTTGGCCGTCGCCGTCGCGGTTGCCGTTCTAAAATCGTAAGGTCTCTATTAAGCATGAAGGACGGCAACACGACGACGACGGCAAACAAGCTCGTTGAACTAAATTATTGTAAAGAAAACATGTCGTCTATTTTCCATCGTATATAATTAAAACTAATAAAGCTTGGGGATCGAGGTTAATTAAGACAGCTGTCTATGGTTGAGAAGAGTTCTACGCGTGAGACAGAGAGAGAGGAAGATATCTAAAACTCCCGTTGGATAACTTGGATTTTATTCATTCATTTTTACTCTAAAATATTTGTTATTTTATTAAAAGTGAAAAATTTAAGTTTGTTCCTTTTTACGTCCCCGTACTATAGCTTAAGCCTTGCTTAAATTCTTTTAATGGCATCGCCTCTGGCATAACCTCTGGACACACGTTATGTATTACATAAAGTATTTAGCATAATTTAGCAAGCGCATGCGCATTAAGCATGCTCTTAAGAACACATGTTTTGCAGGAAAAGAAAATATAAGTTTTACCTCTGTTACTCGTTGTTTTTCTTGGGTAAAACAAAGGACTGCTAGCTAGGCAGTTAAAAACAAGTAAACAATCGCATCTATTATATGGTCCTTCGACGACGGATGTAAATCAGCGAAAGAATGGTGTCGTTTGACTCATTTTGAAACAAGACAAATCGTAGAACGTAAACATGTCGCAAGAATCTCGTGAAACGCTAGCACAGAAACGAAGCATTACAAAGCGAAAAATCACCAATCTTATAAAGAAAGTCGTACCACTGGTGCAAAAGATCGAAAGCTCACAATTCGACATTGTATGTGCTGAACAATACTTAAAGGAACTTCGTGATTTGGATAATCAATTTCAGGAAATATATTTATTGGCCAACGCTCAAATCGATCCTAAGGATGAAGAACTGATCGCAAAAGACTACGAAGAGCTGGATGCTCATGACGATCGAATCAGAGAAACTGTAAGTAAACTCGTATTTTTTATGAACATTCAATTTACCAAGGTTTCACATGAAACAAAATCATCTGATAGCAAAGATAAGAAAGCAATAGAACGAAAGTGGAATCGTATTGAGACTAACATAGACAAAACAATTGCAAGTATTGAAGAAGCAACTGATAAGCCTAATGAAAGCGATATTGAAGATCTTATCGATATCAGAAATCAAATTTCTGAATGTGAGAAATCTCTTGATAGTTTTACAAGTGAAATTGACTCGTCTATACCAGATTTAGATGGTGTAGACGGCGGAAATTGGAATGATCTTTTATCTAGTTATTTTGACAAAATTACGTCAAATCAAGAGAAATTATCTCTACTCATAAAGCAACATCGCCGTGAACAAATGAAGCAAACTAAAGAGCTTGAAATTGAAAAGGAAAACAGAAATAAGGAGCTTGAAGTTAAAAAACTCAACAACAGCATGAACTTAACATATTGTTAAATAAAGTCAAAGCGCTAGAGAGTTCTGAAGCAAATGAACAAAAAACTGTGAAGCTTCCTCCACTCAATATCCCTACATTTGATGGGGAACCCACTAAATGACTTTCAAGCAACAATACATAACTCGAAGAAATTAGATAATCAACTTCGCATGCAGTATCTTCTGAAATCTCTTGTCACTAAAAAGGCTAGAGATGCAATAGAAGGAATCGATGCAGTTGCAGAAGCTTACCCTGAAGCTATTGCAGCACTCCCGGCTCGTTTTGATCGCCCCCAAATTATCCATCGTGCCCATGCTAGAGCTTTGCTAAATGCCAAACCAGTTAAAGATGGCACAAGTTCAGAACTGAGACAGTTACATGACACTTTCCAGCATCATTTAAGATCATTGAAAGCACAAGACAAGCTTGACTTTGATAGGTTTATGACAACATTGGGCGAGTCCAAACTTGATTCCCAAACAATGATTGAATGGCAAAAATTTACACAAGCAGAAAAGGATGTACCTTCCTATACCAAATTCATTGAATTTCTTGACCTCAGAGCAACAACTACTGAACTAACTTCCTTTGATGGAAATCAAAGAAAATTTCAGCCCTTTAACAAGAAACCAAAGTCGTACAGTCCTGGGAATTTTGGCAAATCAGAATCAGTCCATATCACTACCACACAAGTTAAGTGTTCAGCTTGCAATGGGCAGAAACACAGCATAGCCTATTGCCAAGCTTTCAAAGAGAAATCCCTTTCCGAGAAGCGTGCCTTTGTGTATGAAAAGGGACTTTGCCTCAATTGTCTGAAGGGAAGACATATGGCAAAGCAATGTCCTTCACCACATTCATGTCTTAAATGTGGCAAAAGGCATCACACTTTATTGCATGTTGATGATTCCAAACTACCTGAAAACAAACCTGAATTGTCAAAGCACGGTGCCCTAAACAACAATTTGCCCCCTTTCCCAAACCCCTTTCCACCAAGTAATCCACTCACCAGTAGTGAACCCACCAGTAGTAATCCACCCACCAGTAGCTACGTAGCGACACCCAAAGCAAACAGTTTGAATAATGTTCTTATGATGACAGCGGAAGTCATCGTAAGCTCCCCATCTGGTCAACAAATAACAGCTCGAGCCCTACTCGACCCAGCTTCAACAGCGTCCTTCATCACCGAAAGACTAGCTCAACACCTTAAGTTAAGAAGATCTAAACAGGAAATCACCATAAACGGAATTGGAGGATCCCAGTGCTCTACCCTAAGCAACAGTACTGTGAACATTAACTTGAAATCTACTCAGAGCTCTTCTACTCTGTCAAATGTGCAAGCTATTGTTCTTCAGTCCTTAACCAGGTGTCTACTGTAGCCACGATATTGGTAGAACTCGTTAAGTTTTCAATAAAATGTATTTAAAATAATGGTTTACAAAAAAATAGTAAGAAAATATAATATTAACTGTTCTTTTCGAAATAATCGCCCGATCAAAATCCTCGATAAAACAACAACAAAGTAAATTCCCCAGAACCCGGTCAAACCGGTTTTTCACGAGGACAGTTCCGCGCGTGACGACGGCCACGCGAATCTCTCGCACTATTCTAGCGCCTTCTGAACATTCCCCCTCCCCGCACTAAGGCGACGAGGTGCGAACAACTAAAAAATGTCAACTATTTATAGTTCAATGTCGTTAACACGTTCTAAAGCGGAATCAATTTATGAATTGGTCTCACTATCGTTTTGCTTCCACATTGTACTTTGGCCACTCTCGTATGGCCGTCTCGTCCAGGATAGGTTTCCACGATTCTTCCGAGTGGCCATCGCCCTCGCGGTAGATCCTTTTGGAGCGCCAAGACCACATCGCCTTTCTTCGATTCTTTCACGACTTGGTTCCATTTTGATCTGGGTGTTAACATTGGCAAGAACTCTTTTAACCATCTGTCCCACACTCGGGAGATCAGCTCCTGCACTTTCCTCCATCGCTTGCGAGGGTTGAACTGCGTAGTATCCACATTTTCTGGCGCGAAGTTTCCCCCCATTTGACCGTGAATGAAATGGTTGGGCGTTAATGGAACATCATCTCTAGGGTCCGCGGATTGGTATGTCAGGGGTCTTGAATTTAGTAGGCCTTCTACCCCGGTACATATCGTCACCAGCTCTTCATCCGTCACATCACTGTTACCCATAACTGCATACACGGCTTTTTTCGCAGCCTTCACCATGATCTCAAAGACGCCCCCAAAATGTGGAGCTGCTGGAGGATTAAAGTTCCATTTGACACTTACGTTGGTTGCGTTTCTCTTGATTTTGTCCTTGTCAAGTTGGCACACAAGTTCTTTCAGCTCGTTGACGGCGCCCACGAAATTGGTACCGTTATCACTCAGCATTTCTTTCGGAATACCCCGTCTGCTTGTAAATCTAGTAAATGCGTTAAGGAAGCTATCTGTGTCCAGGCCCCACGCGACTTCGAGATGTACCGCTCGCGTGGACATGCAAGTAAACACACATAACCAACGCTTGTTCCTCGTTTTGCCTCGTCCTTGTATCGTCTGGAAAGGCCCAGCATAATCAACTGCCGCTTGGTCAAATGCGCGATAGGTGAGGCGAAGTCGGCTCGGCGGAAGAGGTCCCATAATTTGCGCACCGGCTTTGTTCTTTTTCTTCTTACACGTGTTGCATTCGTTCTCCCATTCCCGGATTTCCTCCCTCGCTGCTGGGATCCAATATCGTTGGTTTAACTGTGATAGGACGAAGTTTGTACCGGCAGTGTGATTCGATAGCTCGTGGAAATGTTTGACTATCAGTTTAGTCACCCAGTGTCCCCTTGGCAAGATTATCGGGAATCTGACGTCGTACGGGAGGAATTCCGCAAATCGTAGTCGACTGTCCGAGCGAATCAGTCCTTGTTCATCCAGCCGAGGATTTAGTTTCAGCAACGTACTCTTGGGTGGCATTTGTTTTCTGGT